AGTGAAGAGAAAATTTTGTTCGTACTTAGATGTTATTTCTATTATGTTATGATTGGTAGGTGTATATTATTCAATTAATAGACATCTAAATTTATTTTAAAAATATATCCATTACGTTTTTATTAGAATTTTTAAGATTAATATTTTCAAACTTGTTTGCTCTCATATTATTCAACATCTTTGTCCCAAGTCCATAAGAATATAGAAATACAGTGATAGAATAGAAGATGAATGAAGAAGAGGTGTTTGTTAGGACTTTTATTCTCGGACTATTTTACCATTAGCCATATGTTATTCTTATATTTATTAAAATTTTCATAAAAGTAAATGGAAAATCCAATCAAGGTTTAGATTATTATGACTATAAATGTAGAGGCTCAGAACTTAAGAATAAATAAAGTCATAAATTAAATGCGAAAGCAAAATAATAAAATTTAAGATTTACATTCCTTACACAATAATTTAGAATATCCAATAAAATTACGAGAATATTTTTTCTAAAAAAATTACGAAAATTAAGAAAACAAACAAAAAGTCAATAATTAAGTATTTTAATACGACCTTTACTAGTTTTTGAAGGGAGTTCGAGTGGTGAACTTATTTATAACTATCTTATTGATCGAGATCTGGATCTTGGTTCTCTTGAGTTGAAATAGTTAATGAAAGAATGAGTTATACTAACTTAGTAAAAATATCATACTACTCACTGATACAGAAACTGAAGATTAATAAAAATTATAAAAACAATCAATAGAGTTTTTGATTTAAGTAAATTTATTCATCATAAGGAAAAATAATTTATTGCATATATTTACTGTTATGAGATTTTAAAAATCGATCTATAGAGAGACAATAATTCAAATAACATTTCAATCTCATTTTCAAGTGAGTAACAATATCCACTTTTCTTTTTTATTTGTCCACTGATATCCTTGGGGACCCATAAGGATTTTTCACTACATGTAAACTAATATTCAACATTGTCAACTAACCCGTCATTCCCATACTTCATCCGGTATGAGCGCCAAAAATATTATCCGTCAATACCCCGTCTGGCATGAGAGTGAATCGGGTCGTCCCCATACCCCGTCCTGTATGAGCGCCAAAAATATCATTCCTCGATACTCCATTCGATATGAGGCAACGTTTACAGTAGGGTTCCCTATGTACCCGATCCATACACCATCTCGCAAGATATCCAGTAAGACTACCATTTACTAATTCACGTGACCAATTAATTTTCTATTTGTATACTAATTTTCAATTTCACAAATCAACCGTAAATTACGCAAAATAAGTAATATATATACCAATGAAGCACAACTGAATCATTCAACAATTCCAGTATACCATCATGTATTTAAAGCAGTAAATTCAACAATCAGTTAAATAGGACAAATAAAAAACTAACCAGTTCCGACTCCATTAGTAACCTGTAATTATTCTCAAAATTTTCTAAATTATATAAAATACCATATTAACGACTATTAAATTTCAATTCCATAACAGAGAATAAAGTAAGAGATTTTTACCCGAATCGAAATCTGAAATATTAAACTTTTTATTACGCCTACTGGCGATCCCCGGGTTTTCTAATTTTTTTTTTGCAGAAATTAAAACACACTTCACGTACCTAAAAATACCCTAAAAAAATCTAAAATTAATGTTAAAAATATTTTTCGGCCAATTTTAAAATTCCGACGCGGCAGCATTGTCGTGCTCCGGCGACGTTACCACCACCCATGGCGGTAGTTTGTCTCGGCCTAGCCGTTTTTGGCCAGTTTTGGCCAATTTCGACCGATTTTATATCAATCCCTGCGATAAAACA